CCCCAAAACCCCAAAACCCCAAAACCCCAAAACCCCTACCCTTAGTAATAAAATTGTATAATTTTGCTACAAATAACGGCATGGAGGAAATCATCAATCGGATTCAGAAAGAAGTTGACGAACAGAACAGGGAAGAAGAGAAGCAAGCAAAGGAGAAGAAGTTAAAAGAGGTTCCTAAATTTGACAAAGATAATCTATTCACTATAAACTTCGGAGGCATTGAAAACTCTATTAGGTACTTATTAGAGAAAGTTGAGAAGCTTACTGCCCAAGTCTCCAAAGCAGAGAAGGACATCAAGTCCAGAGCCTACGTAGTCGACAAGTTGCACAAGGAAGGAACCGAGAGAGATGACAAAGTCAAGGAAATGGAAAAATAAAATCGTTGATCTTGAGAACAAGTCTGTAGATTTGGAAAATAAAAGCTTTGAGTTTAATGCCAAATTTGAAAGCTTCATGATGAACTACCAAATACAGAACAGAACTATTTCTGGTGTAAAGGACCGTATCGATGAAATTGAGGAGACTTTGGAGAAGTTTGAAGGTGAGAAAGGTAAAGGGAAAAATGCATTTTCAGGTGGAAATACCTCCAAACCTAATGACTTGGAAAATTCCCAACAGATCTCAACAATCGTAGATAGGTTAGATGGAAATGACAAACTTATTGACAGCCTGATCTCAAAAGTTCAGAAAATTAATTCAAAATTTAATAATAAAGTAAAGACGCCCCAATTTAGCGAGAGCAGTGAAATTAGCCAAAGCAAAATTGGGAATAAAATTAAGAATCTTGAGAAAGAAATTGAGGACTTGAGATGCTCCATTCCTATTAATACTGCTGCATCAAATGATGGGACCACTCACAGCTCTATTAACCAGAACTTAAAGATCAAATTAGATCATTTTAGACAAGATTTGGATCAAACTAAGAGCACTGTACTTTCTTTACAGCAAATGGTGGAGGAAAAACCGGATTATGATCAACTTCAAGAAATTGATAAAGTTGTGACTGACAAACTAAACGATTGTATAAAAGCTGTTCGAAGGCAAATGTTCGAGAAAAGTGAGTCTACAAGAAGTCTCAAGAAACTTGAAAAACAACTACGATCCCTCTACGAAGTACTATATGCTCAAGTAAGAGTGTCAGAATCCGAAGAGGACCCTATTGCGGGTAAGAAGACTTTTAATTCTTACACACGTTCTCCATATTCTACCCCTAATACCTTTGATAGAGTTTAAATCGAAGGGTCATCTTTCAAAGTATCCGATGTGGAAGAAGCCTCCAACTACGAAAAAGATCAGAATGAGAAGCCATAACAAGGATGGAACCAATATGATGTCTAGCACTGGTGACATAAAGACTTTCAAGTACTATAACATGGAACCTATCCACGGTCAGTCCGATTTCTAACACTCAAAAAACACTATAACCACTCCAGAGTAATTCTAAATAATTACAATATTTCAAGTGTTAGAGCTCCCTCAGGGGTTTTGGGGTTTTGGGGTTTTGGGGCTTTGGGG